CGTCGTCGTCGTCGTCGTCCTCGTCCTCCCGGAAGGTGAAGCTGCAGTCCAAGGTGGCCGTGCTGATCCGCGAGGGCGTCAGCAGCACCACGCCCGCCAAGGAGGCGGCGCCCTCCGGCCTGGGCTCCATCGGAGTCAAGTTCAGCCGCGACCGCGAGAGCCGCTCCCCCTTCCTCAAGCCCGACGAGCGGGCCCCTGCCGAGGTGGCCAGGGCGGCGCCGGGCAGCACCAAGCCCAAAAAGACCAAGGTCAAGGCCAAGGCCGGGGCCAAGAAAGCCAAGGGGACCAAGGGGAAGACGAAGCCCTCCAAGACCAGGAAGAAGCTGCGGGGCGCCGGGGGCGCCGCGACGCTCAAGAAGTCCAAGGCGGACAGCTGCAGCCAGCCAGCGGGGGCCCAGGGGGCCGAGGAGACTTCCTGGTCCGGCGAGGAGCGGCCGGCCAAGGCGCCCAGCACCCCGCCCCCCAAGGCCGCGCCTCCGGCCCCTGCGCTCACGCCGGACTCGCAGACTGTGGACAGCAGCTGTAAGACCCCTGAAGTCTCCTTCCTACCCGAAGAGGCCCCCGAGGAGGCGGGGGTCCGAGGTGGGGCGGAGGAGGAGGACGACGAGGAGGAGGAGGAGGAGGAGGAGGAGGAGGAGGAGCAGCAACCGGCCACCACCACGGCCACCAGCACGGCCGCGGCCGCGCCCAGCACGGCCCCCAGCGCAGGGTCCACGGCCGGTGACTCGGGGGCAGAGGACGGGCCGGCCTCTCGGGCCTCTCAGCTGCCCACGCTGCCCCCACCCATGCCATGGAACCTGCCTGCTGGTGTGGACTGCACCACCAGTGGCGTCCTGGCCTGTGAGTGTCCCTGCAGAGGGCTGGGGTCAGGGCAGGCGGGGGGGGCCCCTAGAGGACGGGGGAGGCCTGGCGACGGTGGGGCCACCTCAGGTAGGTCTAGTGGCCTGGACCAGAGGAACTCGGGCCACTGGGCGCGCACAGGGCGCCTCGTTGGGGGAGAGCGGGGCGGGGGGTGGCCCTGGCCGATGGGGAGAGCGCGACGCTCGGGGTCTGCCCAGAGGGCAGCCAGAGAGGCTCGGTGGGGAAACCGGAAAGAGTGGGGTGAGCGGGCCGTGGTGCCCGGGGGCTCAGGAGACAGACGCGCCCACCCCAGTGGGGGCATCGAGGGACCCTGGCCCCGCACACACACGGGCCACTTCGCGGATGACGGAGCAGCGCGGGGCCGTCTCCGGGTTGAGGCCGACTGCCGGTCCCGGGGCGCGGGGCGGGGCCGTGGCTGCTGCAGCTCACTGTCTCCTCGTCGCTTCCGCCTGCTGCAGTGACTGCACTTCTCTTCAAGATGGAGGAAGCCAACCTGGCCAGCAGAGTGAAGGCCCAGGAGCTGATCCAGGCCACCAACCAGGTGGGCTCCGGGCAGAGGGCCCCCCCGGCACGCTTTGGGGCGAGGTGCCGGCCGAAGAAGAGGAGCCTGCTGCTCCTGGGGCTGGGGAGCTCAGGGCGGGAGTGATGGGGCGCGGGCTCTCACGCCCGCCCCCCCCGCTCATTGTCCTTCTGGCTCTTCTCGCAGATCCTCAGCCACAGAAAGCCGCCCTCAAGTCTGGGGGTGACACCAGCTCCCGTGCCCCCCTCGTTGGGTCTGCCCCCTGGCCCTTCCAGCTACCTGCTCCCCGGAAGCCTCCCCCTGGGGGGCTGCGGCTCCACCCCTCCCACCCCCACCGGGCTGGCCGCGGCGTCTGACAAGAGGGAAGGCAGCAGCAGCTCCGAGGGACGAGGGGACACAGACAAGGTGAGCGGGCTCGGGGGAGGGTTCGGAGAGGGGACAGGTCAGAGGCGGCCAAGGCTGGTGCCCCAAGAACGTGGCTCAGCTGTAGGGGCCGCGCCTGCGCTGGCCGGAGACGCGGGGCGCCCCGCTGGCGCCTGTGGCCTTCCGCACCCTCTTCTGTGCCACCCGCCTGGGGCTGCCTGTTGGCTGCCCGCGGGTCTGCACGTGGCCCGCAGCGTTCCCCAGCTCCCTCGCTCTGAGGGCACGAGGAAAGCCAGGTGTCCGCCCCTCCGCTAGGAGGGGACACGAGACCTGGTGCGGGCGGATGCCCCTCTACTCTGCTCCGGCCTCCGTGGGCTCCGGTCACTTTGTTAGTTCCGGTCAGTCTGTTGCAGTTCGATAACCCGTCACTGGAGGATGGTCTTGCCCACCCCGCACACACCCCAGGACAGTGCAGAGGTCAAGCCAGACAACCCCCCAAGAGGCCCCAGAGGGACCACAGTAAGGCAGTGACCCGAGAGGCCGCACTGGCCGTCCTCTGCCGCTGCGCCTGCCGCGTCTGCAGCCGGTGTGGCGCAGGGCCCTTCGGAGCCGCGTCTCTTTAGAAACTCACTTCCTCACTTTCTTGAAGGATGTATTTATGCACACGGAACTGGGGTACAGGCCAGAGGTGGGAGAGTGAGAGGGTTCACCAGAGACAGCAGAACAGGCGGGTCTACTGAAATCCACTGCTGAGGGGAGCAGCGGGAAGACCGGAGAGGTCTGCTGCGCCCTGTGAAAACCTCCTTGGGCTCAGGGGCCTCAAGATCCCTCCTGCGGGGCCCATGGGCCCCCAGAATGCTCAGTGGCCCTTCAGCTGACTGTTCACCGCCCTGCCAGGTGTCCTGCCCTTCTGGGCTCAGCTTACCCTCCCGTCCCCTCAGCCTGGCCCTAGGGAAGGGTGACCGGCCGGGCCGGGCTGCCCGCCCTCTGGCTAGCTGTTTCTGTTAGCGTTTGCAAAACTCCAGCGCCCGGTCTCGGGGCCCCCTAGCTCTCCCTGCCCTGCCCCTTGTGTTTGTCCCCGTGGCCATCACCTAGAACAGCCCCCACCCCGCGGGCTCGCCGCTGTGGCTTCGGTGCTTGTTGCTGCGTCCGCCCACGGGTGCTGCCCCCGCTCCACGAGCGCCCTCGGGGGGCACAGCCCGGAGCAGCGCGCCGAGCGCTGGAGGCCGGCCCCGCCGGTGCTGGCTTCTGCTCGGTCCCGCAGCCGGCGCCTCCGGTCAGAGCAAGCCCCGCCAGCGCCCGTCGTCAGGCTCACCCCGCCAGCGCCGTCTCCCCGCCAGACCCTGAGCTCGTCAGGGCGGGGGCAGTGGGGCTGGTCCCGGCCGCCCGGTGCCGCGGGGCCCTCTGCCTGGAGGACAGGCTCAGCGCCCTTCGTGGGCCCCGCCCGGGCAGGGCTCGCGGTGACCACGGCTGTGTGGAACTTCCATCTGGGAGCGTAGCGGGCGGGCAAACCGTTGAGCGGGACTCACCTCCGTGGCGCTCCTGTCCCCGCCAGTACCTGAAGAAGCTGCACACGCAGGAGCGGGCAGTGGAGGAGGTGAAGCTGGCCATCAAGCCCTACTACCAGAAGAAGGACATCACCAAGGAGGAGTACAAGGACATCCTGAGGAAGGCTGTCCACAAGGTGGGCCGGCGGGGCACGGTGGGGGGCTCGTCCCTGCTCAGGCTGGTGCGGGTGTACAGAGGCGCGATTGGGGCCTGTCCTGCCGGCCTCCAGGAAAGCCGGGTCACTGGCCTGGGAGCAGTTCCTCACTTGCCTAGGCTTGGTGGGTCCGGAGGCTGGGGTGACCACAGCTCCCCTTGCTCCCCAGATCTGCCACAGCAAAAGTGGGGAGATCAACCCGGTGAAGGTGAGCAACTTGGTGCGGGCCTACGTCCAGCGCTACCGCTACTTCCGCAAGCACGGCCGCAAGCCAGGGGACCCCCCGGGCCCCCCACGGCCACCCAAGGAGCCAGGGCCCCCCGACAAGGGTGGCCCGGGTCTGCCCCTGCCCCCTCTCTGAGAGCCCCGCCGCTCCCGCCCTCCGTTGCCGCCTCAGAATTCTGGACGTATTTATGGCTCCGCCTCCCCACCTCGCTCCCCTCCGTGGGATGATTGGGGGGTTGCTGCGGGGAAGAGGAGGGCCCCTGCCCTGCCCGGCCCCAAGCCTATCCCCCGGCCCTAGACCTGTTCCTACAGTCTTGCCCCTGTTCGTGCCCCCCAGTTTCATTAAAGATTTCATGAAATGTTAACCCGAAGCCCACGAGCAGCCCTTGTTTTCAGAGACCGAAGTGGGAAAGGAGGGAGCAGGTCGCGGTAGGCGGGGCGAGTCGGGCGCAGCGGGGAGCCCGCTGGGCCCGCTCCGGGCTTGAAGCAGGCGAGGGTGGCGCAGACCCAGGCCCGCAGCCAGAAGCCTCGCTGTGCCCGCAGGCCTGCGAGTGCTGCTGCGCCTCAGCGAGGGGCAGAAGCCCCGTGTCTCCTGGGCACCAGGTGCCGCGCTTGGCCTGGGCATTGCCCCAGGAAGGGCCCCTGTCCCCAGTGGCAGGCTCTCCCCGTCCGTCCCTGAGGCTGGCGCGCCCAACTCCCTCCCTGAAGTGGAGAGCGAAACCGAGGCACGGCAGGCTGCACGCCCGAGGCTTCTGCTAGCCCGTCAGTCCTCACCCGAAGCTGGGTCCGGGAAGGGGAGGCCGAGGCCCCGGGCCTGGGCAGGCAGGCCGCAGGGCTGGAGCCCCCGGGAGGGCAGAGGACGCCCACAGCCAGGGGGGCGGACCCGGCGACCCCAGGGGCTGAGGCGGCCCGGGCTGCAGGCGAGTGCCAGACTCAGCCACAGGCCTCCAGGCCGCGACCCGAGGCCCCCCGACTCTGACCTGCTCGTGCTTCCTCCTCGTGTCCTTTGCACGTCCCCAAGGCCCCATGTCCTGGTCTGTAAGGCGGGGTGACCAGCCCCCCTTCTAATCCCTGGAGGAGGTGGGGGTAACAGGCGGCACAGTTCGGGCCCCTGTGGTGAGCTGCTGGGCGTGGGGGGTCGCAGGTGGCTCAGGCCAGAGCTGGGCCGGCCTGGGGACAGCAAACACCAGACACGGGGGCCCGGCGGGAGGCACTTTATTAGCCGGTGGGCCCAGGCTGCGCCCGGAGACTAGAACTCCATGTCCTCGAGCAGGTCCTGGAGGCAGGCCTTGTACTGGTCCGAGGAGAGGGACAGGGGCTGGCCGTTGGAGATGTGCAGGTCCACGGTGTTTTCGAGGGAGGAGGCTCCCCCCGATCGTGCCATGTCTAGCAGGATCTTGAGGCACATGGGCACCACCTGCAGGGGGTGGGAAACTCAGGTCAGGGGGCCTGCCCCCAAAACTGCCCAGTGGAGTTAGCGGACTTCCCCTCCCCCGAGTCCAGCCTCCCCAAGTAAAGCTCCAGGCCCAGCTATGGGGCGCTGTGGGCTCCCCATGAGTCAGGGCTGAGGCTGCTGGCCCTGGTCTCCTGGGGCCTGCTGGGACGCGTGGTCCCTAGAGAGCTCAAAGCAGGCTCCGGGGATGAGGCCATGAGAGGGACCCCCAGAAACTCCTGAGGCGGTAAACTGGTGGTTGCCGAGATGTGAAAGCTGGAGCTTCCCGGGCTTCTGGGAGGTGTTCCTGGAGCAGCCCCTCGGGAGAGCCGCCCCCGTGGGGCCCTGGCGGCAGCACCTTGACCATCACGAGTCTCTTGGTCCAAGGCTGATCCTGAGGCCACGACTCCCCCACGCAGAACCAGAGGGTGTAGCGTGGCGAGTGTCCACTTCCTTCAATGAAGGCGATCAGATCTGGGGGCCGGGAGTCCCGTCAGCATGGGAAGGGGACCCTTTCCCCAGCACCCCAGCCCAAGCTACAGCCTCCCCTTTTCCGTGACCTACAGCCATCTGCTGTCACGGGGTGAGGCCTGGACACGGCACGGGCACGCCCCCACCCCCTTCCCACCCCAGCAGGGCTGTGGGCCAGACCTGGGCGCCTCCCCTGCCCCAGGCGCTGCGGGGGCCCCCCCAAGCATGCACAGCGGCTCTGGCAGAGCGTTTACTGCTCTCCTGCCCCATGGCCGCCCTGACGGCAGCCCTGGCCAGTGTGGCCTTTTCTTCAGGAGCTGTTGGAGAGGGCCCAGCTGTGGGGCGCGGCCACTGTGCTTTGCCCGAGCTCCCCACGGGGGTGCAGGGAGCAGGCGCCCACCCCCTGGAAGGCCAGCAGCAGGCCGAGGCTGCGCATGTCTGCCTGGCCACCTGGCTCACCTGCCACGAAGGGCCGCAGGTCCAGCACGCTCCCCTCCTTGTCTTTCGGGACCTCGCCGTTGTGTCCATGGCCGCCGTCCGGCAGGAGCTCCTCGCCCACGGCCCAGTACGTGCGGCAGTGCCCCAGCCGCTGGGCGCAGAGCTGCTGACCAGCCCTCCACAGAGCCAGGCCCCCGCCCAGGTAGCTGAGCACGCGCTGCACCAGGCTGATGACGCCCCTGTCCGTGAGGAACGCCTTGGGGTCTGGCAGCACAACCAGCTGCCCAGGGAGCTGGTCCTCTGCAGCTGCCCCCACCAGCCGCAGGCCCTTCTGGCTGAGAACAGTCTGCTGGAAGACCTGGCGGCCCCGGTAGAAGGCGCTGACCTCGAACTCCCACTCTACGCCCGGAGCAGCGTCGTGAAGGGGAGAGACGGAGAGCGTGTCAGGGGCCCGCCGCTGCGGCCCCGCCTGCCCGCCCGTGGCCGGCACTCACCTCCCTCAGGCCCCAGCAGCGGCCTCAGTGGGTTTACAGAGGGCTCCAGGCTTGGGCTGGGTGCTGCAGTGTCCACGCCAGGGCTCAGCACGTGCAGAGGGAGGTGTTCTGGGGCTTCAGCTGGGTGGGGAGACGGGGCCAAGTACATGTTGTTCAGAAACTCCCCCAGAATCTCGTCCTGGAGAGGGGAGAGAGCCAGGCATTGCCACAGCCCTTTTGGGACACCCCGCATGCGCAGGCAGGAGCTCGGCGACGCAGGGACCCAGACCAGAGCTGGACCTAAGCCTCGCCCTCAAGGCGCTTCCAGGCTGAGGAAAGGCTGGTCCTTGGCTCCACGCTGGGCACGCCAGTGCCCCCAAGGAGTGTGTGCCAGGCTGGGCAGGATTTGGGGGCACTGGCCCTGGCACAGACATCAGCAAGACCAAGGGTAGGGAGGCTCTGAGTTCCCAGGAGGCTGAGGGTGTCCAGTCAAGCCAGGAAAGGTAGGACATCCTTGTGTGTAAGGACGCTGAGCGCCTGCTGACAACTGAGGAAGTTGGGGAACCACGCAGGCTGTGAGCAGGGGGGCCCTCTGGGTCAGGTGGGGGCAGACTGCAAGGGAGAGAAGAGGGCGATGAGGAGGCTGAGGCAGTGGTCCAGGGGAGAAGATGAGGCCCAGAGTCATGGGGTGCAGAGGTGGAGCGCAGGTAGTCAGGCGCGTTCTTACCTGGATGTCAGAGGTGTGTGGAGAGATGTCTCGCTCAGGCAGGCAACCCCCCCCTGTGGAGAAAGGTGCTGAGTGGAATGAGCATGCCTGCGACACTGGAAAGCCCATTCCTCCACTGGGAGCCCGCTTATGGCACACCTGGGGTCACAAACTCGAAGACCTTGTGCGGGTCTTGGGGATCTTTGCTCCGGTCCTCAGCTAAACGCACCACTTCCTTCCGGTTCAGGGCAGCCCGGAAGTTCCTTTTCCAGGTGGGTAGGTCCGGCTTGTCCTTCCCAGGCTTGTAGGCACCGCTGGTCTCGGCCCAGGCCTGGGGGACCAGTGGTACCAGGGTGGTGGGAGGGACTGAGACTGCCCCGGGGGGTCTTGGCCCAGCTGCCTCGCTCAGGCTGGGCCCTGGCTCAGGCTGGGCCCTGGCTCAGGCTGGGCCCTGTCCAACCCGGCAATTTCCAACCCCAGCCGCGGCCCTCCCGATGATGCCGCAGATGATGCCATGATGCCCCAGATGATGCCGCAGGGTGCCTAGCCCTGCCCCCAGCTAGCCCCAGAACCCTCTCGGAGCCCCGCCCCTCGAGCTCTGACTCGTTCTACAACCGGGGTGTCCTAATTTGGTGATAAGTAACCTAACTTTGGGCCGAGTCTCAACCGTTCAAGACCTGCCTCCAGAACTCTGCAACCCAGGGGCCCGCCCTCGGCGAGCCCTGAAGACTCGGGTGCACTTCCGCTGCGTCTCGCCTGTTGCCCGAGTTCTACCTTTCCCAACACCTGGCAGCTCCAACCCCACAGCTCTGCCCTGCCGGTGCCCGTCCCGCTGGTCCCGCCCCTCAGCGCTAACCCCACCTCCGCCCGCCCCCTTCCGAGGCCCCACCCCCCTACCTACTCGGGCCGCCCTGCGTTTCCCGCGTCCCTGGCCTAGCGCCACGTACCCGAAAGATGCCGAAATCTTCCTGCTGGGTGTCCTGCCGCAAACCATGCTTCCAAGGGATGCGGAAGCGCGTGCGGCTCCCATCCAGCCAGGCCACGCCCTCGAAGTGCCCTCGGTCCAGCTTCGACACCAGCCAGGGCACGATCCGAGGCTTTGGGGTTCCCATCGTCTGGTCTGCGCGCAGGGAGCAGTTCCTGGCTGTGGGTGATCTCTCACGACTAGCCGGCCCGAGGGGTCCACACCCAGACCTCTCTCACGGCTCGCGGCACAGTTCCCACACCCATGTTATCTCGGGGTACGAAGAGACCTCCCGTTCTCTAGAGAGGCACCCCAGTTCACCTAAGAGCCCCTACCAATCCACTTGAGACCTCCTTCTCCCCAGGTTCTTCTGTGCAGACCTCTAGCCCCTCAATTCCGCCTGTCTCTTCCACCGTAAACCCAATCACACACCGCCACAGCACCCAATGCGGGTAGGTACCCCAGTTACCGAAGGAAGTCCTTCCCTCTAGTTACTTAGTGCAGACTATTCAGCTGTGGTGGAGGCCTCCACATCCTTCCTGCACTTACCGCAAAACAGACTGCCTTCCACAGGTGCCCCCGAAGCTCCCCTCACCCGTTTCCCCTCAGCCCTTTGCAACCGCAACCCTGACCCCACGCCCTAACACTCGGCCACCCTCCTCCAGTGCACGCGCCCACTTCCCGAGTGGACAGGCTCCATCGGCAGAGCTCACCGTTCCTTCCCTAGCCCACCACGACCCCTAGTCCCCCCATGGTAGAGCCCTGCGGCTTCTGAGGCTTGTTCTCACAGCCGACCTCCGGCGCCGGCTATTGCTGTCCCCGACCCTGGCTTCACGTTCCGCAGGGCACACAACCCCCTCTTCTCTAGGAAGGCAGACCCAATCTTTCCGCCGCTCCTCACTCCCAGATATCCTCGGCTCTTCCGTGTTACCTAGGTAGAGGATCGGGGCGCGCAGGGTTTGGGGGCCCACCCGGGTCTTTGGGTTCCGGTAGCTCTCGGACTCGAAGCTGCACACCCCTTCCAGTTCAGCTGGGCTTTAGATCGGCGGGGCTCTCTTTTCTATGGATTTCTCGAAATAAAAACAACTTTCTCGTTTGGGAGCGAGACTCCACAATCAAAGGGGCGGTCCCCCGAGTGCGAACGGCCGCCCCCATGTCCTTAAAAAGGTCTTCCGGCTCGGGCATGCTGGGAACGTCGCAAGTAAATTACGTATCCACCCAGTGCCCCGCCCCTTCTACGTTAGGGCCGGCACCGCGTCGGCTCACTGCGCAGGCGCGGGAAAGTTGAACGGAAAACGAAAAGTTTAAACAAGCTCACGGGTGGAGGCGGCGGGGGCGGGGCCCTCGATCAGGTGAGTGGCGCATGAGCGAGGCCTAGACAGGGAGAGGAGAGGAGGAGGCTGGGGTCTGGAGCGGGTACCCCGGCTCCGCAGCTCCGACAGCCGGGCGTCCAGATAGCCCAGGCCAGCCTCGGGTACTGAACTACATCTCCCAGATTGCTGCGCGGCGAGGAAGTGTGGGCCGAGGGGGATGGTTGCTCTGAAGGCTGCTGGGATTGGTAGTTCGCAATCCTCTAAGGGCTTGAATAGTTTTGCTTCTGCTTTTAGAATCTGCAAGTGGGATCCTCAGCTCTTCTTTCCCTCGAGGGGCCAAGGGTCCCCTTCTCTTGAGACCCAGGACTTCAAACCCCTCCGCTCCTTCTTTCCTTAAGCCTTAGAATCCTTGTCCCTAGCCACTTCTCCCAGAATCACAATTTTCATCCTCATGCCTGTTCTTTTTATGGGGACTCAGGAGCCTAGCACCCCAGACTCCATCTATGCTAAAGGATGTAGGGGTCCAGCTATCAGCTCCTTCATCCCTTGGGCACTCACCAACCCTGAGTGTCCCTTCCTCATTCCAGAACTGGGAGTTTGGGCCCCAAGCCTTCCCGCTGGACCGTGGAGTCCATTCCCAGGCCCTCTTTCATAGGTGCCTCCATGGCCGGCTCCGAAGAGCTGGGGCTCCGGGAGGACACACTGAGGGTCCTAGCTGCCTTCCTCAGGCGGGGTGAAGCTGCCACAGGCTCCATCACCCCACCCAGGTAAGAGAAATTGCCTTCTTCCCCAGGGGCTTCCATATGGGGTGGGACCCTCTCTGGGTCTTGCCTCTGGTCTTAGTCTCTTTTCCTCGCTTTTTATATCTGGCTCTAGTCTTTGTCCCCAGGGTTTCAGGAGAGTCTTTCAGTGGGAAGGAAAGGGTGCTGCTTATGGGGGGGTCACATGCTGAGATCCCTTTCACCAGGAGCCCCATACAGGAGGAGCCAGCAGACTTCCTGAGCCGCCTTCGAAGATGTCTTCCCTGTCCCCTGGGGCGAGGAGCAGTTCCCCCTGAGTCCCCTCGGCCTTGCTCCCTGCCCCTCCGCCACTGCTATGGTTCAGAACCTGGTAAGAGATTTCCCTAGGTCATCCGTGAACTGGCAGTGCCAAAAGCCTTGATTAAAAAAAAAAAAAAAGATTTAGTTATGCATACAGAACTGGAATACAGGCCAGAAGTGCAGGGCAGTGAGAAGACTCAACAGAGACAGAGTGGAGCACAGAACAGGCAGGTTGGTGAGGGAGCAGCTCGAGACACGCCATATGGGTCAGCTCCGTGGCTGGGAGTCAGACTTTATGCTGAAGCTGTCACAGCTTCGAAGTGCTGCGCTTTAACCCGTTGTGCCACCAGGGAGGTCCCAAAATCTTGATTCTTAAGGCACAGACTGGATCAGACACCAGTATAGTGCTATGGAGTCTGCAGCACCCACCCTCTCCATTATGTGCCCCCCCCCACACTCCACTTAGTAATTGCTGTGGTGAGCTGCCTTCAGGCGGGCTCTCAGTTCCTTTCTCTTTGTCGTGACTGCCTTTCCATCCATGCTTCCCTGCCCTAGAACTTCAGTAACCCTCCGTATCCCCTCCACCAACCCCCAGTAGGAAGACAGGGGACCTGGTTTTCGATCACAACTCCCTGGTGGCTTAGTTACATGACCTAGGGAAATCCTGTTCTTCCTGGCTGCCATCTGTCTCCATTAGCGAAGTAGGAATGAGGTGGCTGTAAGACTTGATTAGGAGTGACCAACAGGACTCGTATCATCTACGTGAGCCTAGGTAAACTACTGGGAGTGCTAACTTGGAAAGGATTTTGCAGCTGGGGAAAGTTCCACGATCAATTGATGATGCCTGAAACGGGCAGGCATAGCGGGGCCACCAGAGGGAGGTGGTGCTTCCTTGGGGGGGGACGTCGGGTTTGGTGCTATCATCCAACACCATTGTGGAGGACACCTTAAAGTGGAAAGTCCAAGGGTTTGTTTTCTGTTTTTATCAAGTTTGCTTACAGGACTTAAGTGAACCTCACTCTAAAGTAAAAATCATTGCTACCTGGCAAGCTTTTGGGAAGGAGAGAGTCTATCAGGTCCTAGAGTCCCGGAGACCCAGCACTGACTCTTTCCACCCCAGGCCCTGCTACTCCAGACTTCTACGCCCTGGTGGCCGAGCGGCTGGAACAATTGGTCCAAGAGCAACTGAGATCCCCACCTAGCCCAGGTGAGGTGCAGAGAGGCCTGGAGAAGGTGGAAAGTAGAGGGTAGGCAGGCTTCTGCCCCAGCCACATTCTCTTCCGCTTTCCAGAGTTACAAGGTTCTGCACCTACAGAGAAGGAAGCCCTGCTGCGGAGGCTGGTGGCCTTGCTGGAGGAGGAGGCAGAAGTCATTAACCAGAAGGTAACCAATAATCTGTTCCACCCTTTAGCTGGAACAGGAATTGCAGGATGCTTGGGCACGGGGATTGGAAGCTGGGTCTGTGTTCTCTCAGGGTGTCTAGTTGGGGAGAGAGTGGGACAGGGCTTCAGTGGCTGTTTGGGTGACTGGGGTGCTTTGTTCAGTAATTTAACTTCAGTGCCACCGGAGGTATATATAGGAAAAAAAATTGAGGTGAAAGTTGGGGGGATTATGTTAGGGGCTCATGGGTACGGTTACAGCTGTCTAAAATTTGAACCCCTTATTGGGATGGACTCTGGAGGGGTGCGGCTTGTGACTGTCTTGAAATCTGATTGACTGGAGCCTGGGCACAGATCAGACACCATAATCCTGTAATATTAAAGTAGAAGGCTAGGTGATGATAGACCGTAGGCTGGCCTTGGGGACGCTCTGGAAACCTTCGGGGTATGGCTAGCAGGTTAGCATTCTAGAGCTCCCCTAAAGTAGGATTTAGCCTACCCCGCTTGCCTTCTAGCCCCGCTCCTTTCTATTCTTTCGGCGGAGACCAGAGCCCGGTTTGTGATTGGCTGATGTGGCTGGGTGGGCGTGACTGAGGACACCCCCCAGCCTCCGATTGGCTGGGCATGACTGAGGCGGGGCCTGCTTCTTCCCCGCAGCTCGCCGCGGACCCCGCCCTGCGCCGCCAGCTGGCCCGGCTCTCGGCCGGCTCCTTCTCCCGCCTGGTGGAGCTGTTCTCCAGCCGGGAGGGCAGCCCTGGCCCGGGCCGCACCGGGCAGTCCTTGCCTTGTCCCGGCCCGCCGCCGCCCTCCCCGGAGCCCCTGGCCCGCCTGGCCCTGGCCATGGAGCTGAGCCGGCGCGTGGCGGGGCTGGGAGGCACCCTGGCGGGACTCAGCGTGGAGCATGTGCACAGCTTCGCACCGTGGATCCAGGCCCGCGGCGGCTGGGTGAGCGGCAGCCCTCAGGCCCTCCCTTGAGCAGCCGGAATGGTGCGTGTGGAGGTGGTGTGGCAGCTTGAGGCTCCCTCCAGAGTGGAGTCCTTGCAGGTCCTGCCGGGAGCCCAGTGCCATGCTAACTGAGCCTCCCCTGCACACCAGGCCCGCGGGTTAAGCACTCTGGGTATACTAACAATGGGGGACCAGCGTTCACCTCCCTGGGCTGCCTCCTTCCTCACTTAGGGCAGTGGCGCCCACCCCAAAGACTCACTGTGAGGGTTCAGTGGGATCCTCGTTGAGTCATTACGCCACACACCGTGGTATTTTTGCTTGCTGAGGCTCCTGCAGAGCTGCCTGTGGGATCCCCTTTCCTGGCTGTGACCCCTGCTGGCTTCCTCTGATCCTTGTGCCCTTCGGTGGCACCCCCAGAGAGGCCTTCCATGGTCCCCATTTAGAATCACAACCACCTGCACACCCTGCCGCCCCCCCTTCCGCTTCACCGCTTTGCTTCCTTCTGTTCTCCTCACCTGTGAAACAGGTGAGGGCTTGTTTTCTTAACTTCCTTTTTTATTTTAAACATTTATTATTCATGCATACAGAACTGGGGTACAGGCCAGAGGTGCAGGGGCAGTGAGAAGATTCACCAGAGACAGAGTGGGGAGCAGGACAGGCCGACTGACTGAACTCCACTGCTGAGGGGAGCAGCAGGCAAGACAGGAGAGGTCTGCTGTGCCCTGTGGGTCACTCCCTGGCCAGGGATCGAACTCAGGCAGCAGTGGCTGCGATAGCTTCATAGTGCTGCGCTTTAACCCTCTGCACCACCGGGGAGGGCCCTCCTTCCTTATTTCTTTGTTAGCTGTCGCCTTCACCCCTGCTGCATCAGAACCAGGAGTCTCTGCCTTACTTGCTCCTCCCTGCTTTAAATCCAGAGCAGGTTTGGGCTTCAATGAGGTAAAGAGACCTTGGCCACTGGCCCCACATTCCTGATCACCAGCCTCCCCTCCCCTGTCCAGTGGGCACCTGCTCACTTACCTGGGGACTCAGCGAGAGTGGGACCATGCCAGGCTCCAAGCTGTAGCTGGCTTTGCAGGTGGCCTTGCAGGACAGCTGTTTGAGGAGTGGGGAGGGCGAGGGAAAGAGTATGGCAGCAAGGCGAGCAGGGGCAGAGAGCAAGAGCAGGGCCAAATTGCAGAACCTGAAGAAGCTGGACTTTGATTGGGGGGAGCTGATGCACAGAAAGTGCAGACCAGCGCCCTCTGCGGGCCGCAGGGAGCGCAGTGGGGTGAAGGCCAGTGGAGGATGTAGGAGGGACCGCCCTGGCCTGAGAGGTGAGGATGGACCCCGCCGGCTGGCTGGCCGAGCTCTGCGCTGAAGGAGTAGGACTTCAGCTTCTCCGCGGGCCTGGATGGAAGGAGTCAAGGGGAACACCCTCTGTTCCCCAGATGCAGAAGGTGCGGATGGGGGCAGGGACGAGCAGCCCAAGAGTCAGATGATTGGAGGTGATCAAGTTAAGGGAGCGACACCCCTCAGATAACTCTGCTGATGAAATTTGCTCGAGATGAGGGCAGAGTGGACTTAAGTGGAGTTCAGGGGATCAGCGCTTTGATCTGTAAACTTTTTTTTTTTAAATCATTACTTTTTATAGTGATAAATGTTAAACTCGCCAGGGAGTTTTAGGGGAATGATAACATTTAAGCCACACAAAAGAAAAATAGATAAACCACACAACATTATGGGATTGGGCTGTGATCCCCTATCAGGGAGGCTTGGGGGATGGGCACCCAGCGCTGGCGCTCAGGCTGTGAGTGGTTAATGGTCCCTGTCCTCTGCCCCCCCCTCACTTTTTTTTTTAAAGATTCATTTATACATACAGAACTGGGGTACAGGCCAGAGATGGGGGGATGTAAGAGGATCCAACAGAGACAGAGAGGGGAGCAGAACAGGCAGATGGACTGAAATCCACTGCTGAGGGGAGCAGTGGGGAGACAGGAAACTTCTGCTGCGCCCTGTGGGTCACTCCCTGGCCGGGGATCAAACTCAAGCTGCGGTGGCTGTGGGCAGCTTCATGGTGCTGCGCTTTAAGCTGTTGCAACGGGCCCTCCCCGGTGGCGCAGGAGGTTAAAGCGCAGCACTAAGAAGCTAAAGCCATTTCAACAAGAGTTCAATCCCTACCTGCCCTGGAGGTGACCCACATGGCACGGCAGACCTCTGCTGACCCTCCCACTGCTCCCCTCAGCAGTGTATTCATCATTTGGCCTCCCCACTCTGTCTCTGGTGGATCCTCTCACCGCCCCTGAACCTCTGTACCCCAGTCCTGTATGCATAAATAAATAAATCTTTAAAAAAAAAAAACAACTGTTGCACCACCAGGGAGGGCCCTGGTCCGTTTTCTGAGTCTTTGCACCCCATTCTCTATGAGTCTGTGTCCCATGTGTCATCCCCCCACCACACCCCCACCCATTCTGAGTGGCAAGGGCCCATGGTGAGGTGAGGCTCCTGCTCACCGTGCCCTCTTCTCCTCAGGCTGGCATCTTAGACGTTTCACCTGTGGACTTGAACTTACCCCTGGACTGAGACCTTCCTCAGAAGCTGCTACCGACTGGACCTCACGTTCTCTGCTCCTCTTCCACTCAGGGCTTTGGGGTGGCCGTCCTCCCCGCATTTGCCAAAAAGAAACCGCTTTTAAATGTTTTCATATTAAACAGTTATATTAAATATTAAATATTTCAGGTATGGATCGTTGCCTTTCACTCGAGAACCAACAGTGTAAGTCGGGGATATATGTTCAGAAATCTCTGGCGTATGCATTAAGGAAGAACTAATTCATTCTAGAATTTTTTGTTGGGATCATCCACAGCTGCCTATTGCCTGGACACACAGCACATTTGGGGTGTTAAACAGTTTCACTCATCCAACTGGCTTATTGAAAGGAGTCCAGCCTCGGGCAGCGTCCCGCCGGGGTTCCCACAAAATGGAGGTATGATAGACGGAAGGAGGGTGAAGGAGATATTTATCAGAAGAAAAGGTTATTGCCAGGAAGGTGGGGGGTTCCTATGGGGCTGAGCTCACTGGTGCAGACTGGGAATCCCTGGATGGGTTCAGGGGGACACTACTGGGAGGTGACACAGGTGAGACTGGCCATTAAGCTTGTGGGCACGAACAGTTCCCCTTTGGGGCTGTTCTGTTTCTTCACAGGATGTTGATACTGTTACTCTAGGTAACTAATTACATTTTGGTGCACTTGCACAGTTTTTTTTAAAGATTATTTATGCATACAGAACTGGGTATAGGCCAGAGGTGCGGGGGCACTGAGGATTCACCAGAAGCAGTGGGGAGCAGAAAAGGTCGGTTGACTGAAATACACTGTGGAGGGGAGCCCTGGGGAGACGGAGAGGTCTGCTGGGCCCCGTGGGTCACTCCCTGGCTGGGGTTCAAACTGGTGCTGTCCGCAGTGGCTGCGGACAGCTTCACAGTGCTGCGCTTTAACATGTCGCTCCAGCAGGAAGGCCCAGACAATTGAATGTTTTAATGAAAGTAAGTTTTTAAAAAAATAAAAACAAAAGTGCCCAAGGCCAGCAGTGTACTCAGGCTCATGTAGTGAAACTGCCATAAAACCCCAAGAGGAAAGGGGCCCCGGGTCCTCCTAATAGGATTGATTTGGGGGACAAAGGCACACCTGGAGAGCGCCCCACCTTCCCCCATGCCTCACCCTGTGGTCCCTGTCATCTGCCTGTTGATGCATGTGTGAGTAACACACACACACTCAGGCCATGCCTCCACGGGCTGACAAAAGTGAGGGGCCAGAGGCTGCAGGAACCTTACCCGGTGACTCAGTGTCCGCCCATTCAGCCCCATTCGGCCTTGTACAGCCCTTCACAAAGACCACGGTAAATTATCAAATACACGGAAGAGAGAGTGGCACAAGCCGGCGTCTTTCTCCGCTGCGGTTTGTAATGCCCCAGGGGGCTCTGACCTCAGCTCTGGGCTCTGACCACAGCTTGCTTCTGACTCCTTGCCGCCCTGCTCTCAAGGGCGGTACTGCCCGGGGTCGCCTACACCCACCCACGCTGCAGCAGGCCAGGGCAGCGCTGGCCCGCGTGGCCCTTGCCCATCGCCCAACGAGTCTGGAAATCGCTCGTGCAAGAACATTCTTGGAGGGCAGGCGAGAGACCTCCTCCCCCTGACCAGCCTGCCCCTTGTCACAGCTCCTGGGGGCAGAGCTGCTGCATCTGACGATGAGTTACTGTCCCTCATCTTGTCGCAGGGGTGGGGATCAAACGCCTCGAAGCCAGGACATCCTGGTGGCGCTGGGCTGGAGTCAGCGCCGTCCAGTGACTGCCGGCCACTGTGACATGCGTTCGACGCCCTCTGACAGGAGTTCGATCCCAGGCCAGGGAGTGACCCCCAGAGCGCTGCAGACCCCGCCTGTCTCCCCGCTGCTGCCCTCGGCCATGGACTTCAGCCGATCCGCCTGTCCTGCTCCCCAGTCTCTGGTGAGTCACCCCCACAATACCACAGTTCTTGTATTCACGAAGAAAAAGATAAAAGCCTGCGCCCTACTCCTGCCTCGGCTCGGGACCCTGACAAGCCCTGCTCTTTGCGCTCCTCGTTGCTTCGCGTTTCCGCTTAGGCAGATGGTGCACAGACTTTCGGGCTGCCCCCGACGCCTCGCGGCTGGAATTCACCTGATGGAAAATGAGTGACAATTCCCTCGAGCCAGTCGCTGAAGCGTGGAGCCGGGCTTTCCTCCTCACGCCGTCCAATCGCCGCGTTCTCCTTGAGGCAGCCGGGCGAGGGCTGGCCAAAAGCCTCGTGACGTCTCTTTTTGGATAAACCAATAGTAGCTATCTAGAGGCGGGTCGTTTACGTGACGGACAGCTCTATTTCAAGATGTCCGCTAAGCGCGGGGCCCGCCGGGAAGCTTTGAGGCGGTGCTGCGGGGGAATGGGCGGGAGGTCCTGGTCGATTTTATCCAATCATTGGCCGCAGTTCTTGCGACAGACGGCCAGTCTTTCCCATCCCAGTCCACTCGAGGGGGCGGGGCTCGACACGCCAGACTAGGCGGGTCCCTACAGTTTAATAGGCATCTACTTCGCCCAATGACCACACGACACTCCCGGACGGACCGCCTCCACAACCAATGAAATCTCTTGGCGGGGTTGCGGTAGGCGGGCCGCGGACCCTCCGGTATAAAGCAATCCCGGGGGAGTGCGGAGAAAGGGGGGGGTCTCGGCGGCCGGAGGAGGAGTAGGTGCGGGTGAAGATGGCGGCAGCCGAGGCCGCGAACTGCATCATGGAGGTGAGCTCCTGGGGTGCCGCCGGGGGTGGAGGGGTGCCTGCGGGTTGGTATTTCAGGCCTCCGTCGTGGGGAAGGGTCTCTGAGTTGGCCGATTGGGGCTAAATGCCCCCGGGCGTACGGAGCGGCCGCCGCCTGCTCCCGATCTGGGCTTCCGTTTGAGATGCGGATTCCCTCGTTTTCTGGGCCTGCGGCATCCTGTCGAGCCGGGGGCCTCGTGCCCCCTCCCACGTGGAGGAGGGCTGGGGGCGCTTCCGGCCTGGCCCCCACGTGGCCGCGGCGCGGTAGTTGGGGAGGGGGTGTGCCGTGCCGGGTGGCCCCGTGGGCTCCACGTGCGGGACAAAGGCCCCGCCCCCGGCCGGGGGAGGGGCGCCCCGGGGGGGGCGGGAGGAGGCTCTGACCCTCCCTTAGAGGCCCCCAGCCCTGCTCCCCGGGGACCGCGGCGTACACTGAGGGGTCGGGCTGACTTGGGGCCCTCGGCAAAAGGAGGAGTCTCTGGGCAGGGGCAGTGTCAGTCGACCCCTGGAACCCCGATCCGGGGAGCGAAGCATCTGCTTAGGCACCGGTCCAGGTGTCGTGCATGCTTGGGTGGGGATGGGAAGAAGACGAAGCATTGGTTCCCGGCGTGCCCCGTGGTTTCCTGTCCCTGGATTCTCCTCCACCCGGGGCTTTGGAACCTGGGGGATGGGGCATACCCCTGTGACCTCCTCTGGGTGTTGGGGGGGCATCTCTAGCTGAAGGAGATCCTTCCCGATAAGGTGCCGTGCACCCCCTTGTGGCCATTTCTGGGTGTGTGGGAGGGACATCTTTTCATGGGGCGTGTCTCTCAAAGCCCCCCCTCCTCCTTGGAGTCCTCCTGGGCGAAGGGAGGGAGAGTCAGAGTCAGCTGGAAAGGGGATGTGATGGGATTAGGCCGGGAGCGGGCTCGGCTTGGAGTCCTTCTCCACGCAGTATTGAGGGTGGGGGCTGAGCCCCCTGCTGCTGCCTGAAATGGTTTCCAGTGACGTTTGGTTCTTGCACAGGCTTGTGGGGGTGGTTCTGTCCTGTAGGTCAAGCCCTCCTGGGACATGTCGGGTGCTGGGTCAGTGGTACTGAGAAAAGGGCCCGTGAAATGCCCTCACGGGTCCCTTCTTTAGCGGCCTCCTGAGTGACTTGGAGAATGGGCGGTGGGGCTCCCAGCCAGTGGATGGGCCATATCTGTGACTTCCCCGCTTTTTGGGTCCCAGAGTGGGGCACATCTGAAGAGACGTAATCCGGCGGGGCCCCCTGGCCCCCCAGGCCCTCCCCTCCCTCGTAGCCTTCACTGGGAGGTCAGCTGCTCCGAGCTGCTGACACAGGTCAGCTCCCCGGGCTCCCTCCTGTGGCCTGTAGGGGCTGAGGGAATGTTCCCCAGGGCTGCCTCCGGACATGGCCCGGCACCCAGGGCCCAGAAACTGATGGCCCTTTAGCCTTCCGGGGTGGGGGGCAGAAGCTAGGGGATGGGTACCCAATGACGGGAGCTAGAGGCTGGGGTTCCACTTGCCGGGCAGAGGGGGTGCTGTGTGCCACACCTCTTTTCTGGAATGCTCTCCGACTGGAGAGTGGTTTGCAGAGATGGCAGAGGCTGGTGGGTACACCCTGCCAGCACCCCTCCCCCAGCTCATGGCACCCCATGATGGAGAAGTGTGTTAGGAAGTGTCACCTAATCTGGGGGGATTAGATGATGAAGGGGAGCGACAGCTGGCAGTGCCGTGTGCCCTGCGGGTGCCAGAGCCTCTGACCTGGGTGGGGGAGGTGTGTGTGGCCAGGTGCCTGCAGGGGGGCAGTGTGGGTGGGCCGCCATCTCTCCAGGCACAGCTGGGCAGACCCCCTTTTCTTCCCTCCCCCTTCTACCCTCTTGAAAAGTAGCTCCGCCTCCTCACTTGCTCCCAGCCACCATCCCACCAAGGAAAAGGAAAATTGCAAGAAACACACCACTGCCCTCCCCCAGCCCAGGTCCTGGCCGGGCCCTCGCTGGCCGCTCCCAGTAGCTAACCCTTTCTCCCTGTTACTCTCTCCTAGAATTTTGTAGCCACCTTGGCTAATGGGATGAGCCTCCAGCCGCCTCTTGAAGAAGTAAATATCCTTTTGTGAGCCCTCCCCACATAAATACATCTTGCCACACATCAGGCCTCTCTAGCCTCTAACGCTCCCTCCCTCTTGCTTCACCCCAGTTTGCCCATGCCCCCGAAACTCCTGGCAAAGCACCCTCCAGCTTTGTGGGCCCCAGCTGGCCTCCCCAGTGCTGTGGCTACTTCCTTAACTCCGTCTCCAGCCCCCTCGCCCTTCCCTGCGTCTGCCCCAGCTCTGCCTCCCCCCCAAGCTGTGGGCTGAGCTAGTGACGGGGGCAGAGAAACTGGAGAGATGGTAGGCGTGGCTGAGGTATCTGG